CTGCCGCAGCTTCCCCTGCTGCTTCAAGCAGCAGCAGCAGCAGCAGCATAGTTGAGCCGCAGCAGCAAGACACGGCACTTGATTTCGCAGAAGCAACGGAAGCAGCAGCGCTGCTGGAGGAGATCGACTGGGCAGCAGCATCTCAGGCTTCTTCTGCTGGAGGGGGTTTTCCAGAAGCAACTCAGCCCCAAGCAGCAGCACCAGCAGCAACAGCAGCAGCAGCAGCAGCAACGCCTGCTGCTGCTGCTGCTGAACCAGCTGCTGCTGCATCTCCTGCTGCTGCTGCCCCGCCTGCAGCAGCGCCAGTTGCTGCTGCTCTTGCACGTGAGCAGACGCCGGCTGCAGCAGCAACTGCAGCAGCAGTTGCTGCAGCAGCTGCTGCTGCAGCTGCTGCAGCTGCTGCGGCGAGAAGTCCCGTAGACGCAGAGCACAGAAATCCCGAGGCTTGTGCTGTCGCGGCAGAGGAACTCTCGCAGGTGCAGCAGCAACTGCAGCAGCAGCCGCAGCAGCAGCAGCAGCAAGTGCAGCAACAGAAGCAGCAGCAGCAGCAATGGTTTAGCAGTGAAGATGGGCTACGCGCACTGCAGGAGAGGTGCCAGCAGGAATTGCTGCTGCGGCAGCGGAGCGCTTTTATTCAGCAGCAGCAGCAGCAGCAGCAGCTTCTCCAGAGCCGGCTGTTGATGCTGCAGCCAAACAGATACGCGGCCCTGCAGCAGCAGCGGCTCCTCATGCAGCAGCAGCAGCAGCCAGCAGCAGCAGCAGCAGCAGGTCAGCCCAGTGGAGCCCCTTGGCTCTTGCAGCCGCTGCTGCCGAGTGCAGCAGCAAGCAGCGTGGGTGCTGCACCGTCGGCTGCTGTCTCGTGGCCTGCTGTGCAGCAGCAGCAGCAACCGCAGCAGCAACAACAGCTGCAGCAGCAACAGCAGCAGCAGCAAGTGCCGCACACTGCACACGTGGCCGCGGGGCTGCCGCTGCTGCTGAGCCTTCGCAGCACCCCGACAGCAGCGCAGGCAGTGCAGCAGCTGCTGACGACAGCGCAGAAGCATGCAGAAGAATTCACTTCACAGCAGCAGCAGCAGCAGCAGCAGCAGCAAGTGTCGAACCACGTGCAGCTAGCTGCGCGGCTCCCCGAGCTGCTGAGCCTCCGCAGCGTCCCCCAGGCAGCTCAGGCAACAGTGCAGCAGCTGCTGACGACTGCGCAGAAGCATGCAGATGACTTAGCCAAGCAGCAGCAGCAGCAGCAGCAGCAGGAGCCGCTGCCGCCGTAGCAGCAGCAGCATGCCCAACAACCGCCAGCCATAGAGAGGTGATGGAGGGCACAATATTGAGGGAGTTCACCCAGCAGCAGCAGCACCAGCTGCTGCTGCAGCAGCTGCAGCAGCTGCAGCAGCAGCAACAGCAGCACCGTTGATACAGAGCGGCCGCAGCAGGGACTACGGTCGACCTTTGCCTCTGCTGCACAGCAGCAGCAGCAGCAGCAGCAGCAGCAGTAGAAGCTGCTGAACTGGTTTTGCATTAGCTGACGCTGCAGCGGCCAACTTGGATTTTCCTCCAAAGATTTTCTTCTTTTTGTAAATTAAAAAAGCAAATTAGCAAATCGAAGCAGCAGTTTAGTTTGCTGCGCCGCTGCAGCAGTTGCTCTTGAACACTTGTTTATTTGCCGATTCCGAAGGTGAACATCTGTTCATTTCCGCATTTCAAGGTTGAATATTTGTTTATTTCGCTTTTTAAAAACAATATTTCAATTAAATGCTTTCAATTGATTCAAAAATGCCTTTTAATTCAAAAGAATCCTCCTTTATCGACCGCCGCTGCTGCTTCGCTGCAGTGCCACTGCAGCTTTCTGTTCGCTGCTGCGCTCGCGGGGCTCCAGAGGGCCGTTTTTGCTTCTTTTAAAATGCGAATTATTTTAAATTAAATTAATAAAAGTTTTTGTTAAACTGAAAACTATTTTAGTGGCAAAAAGGGGAAAAAACGGAGTTTTGAGGGCGCCTGCATGCACACAGGAAACGCCCCAGCGCATGCGTTTTCAGTCTTTCCGCGCGTCTTCGAACAAGTAATTCATCTTTTTCTGCGCTTAACTATCTCCAAAAGTTCAAATAATGCACATTAAATTCAAACAAAGCAAATTGGATTCAATTTGTGCAGATGAAACCGCATTTAGACTCGAAGACACATCAGCGCAGACTTATTCAGAATGTTGCAACGAGTTTCTGCCGGCGAACGCGCAGTTCAACATTCAAGTTTCTGAATTCAAGTTGAACTCTTTTGAATCTTTCAAATCCCATTTTATTCTTTTTAACGTTTCATTTGGCATTTAAAAGGCCTTTTCGTGGGCTGTGTGGCGGAAAAAGAGCGAACTTGTGCAGAAAAATAAAAGTGGAAATGCGGGAAAAATTCAACTTGAACTCCGGAAAGCTTCCTCTCCAGCCCTCACCGCCAGCCCCCTAACTGCAAAACAATTTACAATTGAGAAGTTTAAAAATTAATTTCAAAGATAAAATGAAAATAAATTGCATTTGAAGAGTTTTGAATTATTGCAATTGATTGCAAGAGTGCCAGCGGCAGCTGCTGCTCGCGGCGTCCGAGCTGGTGGCGCGCAGATCTGCAGGCCGCGCGTCTCGATCAGATATTGCATTCCTTGATTTCTTTGATTTCTGAAAACAATTTAAGTTGAATTTAAATTGAATTTAAATTAAATTCAAATTGAATTTGAATTAAATTTGGACTTCTTCCCTGCAGCTTTCCGCAGCAGCAGTGGGCTGGCTCCGGGCTGGTTCCGCTGTCTGGTGTGCCCAGTGTGCTGCATGCGGCGAGCCGGGGAGCCGTTGCGGGGGCTTCCGCAGAAGAACTCCCTCAAAAAAGCCTTTTTTGAATCGAAATTTGCAATTAAATGCAATTTCGGGGATTTAAAAGGGGTTTTGGGGGTAGTGAAGCGGCGGATCGCGCGAGACGGCGCGGCCGCAGCATGCGAGCAGCCGCCGACGGCAGCACAGCGCTCGGAGTCCAGCGAGGAGGCCAGAAGAGGCGAACTCCCCTTTGTCTTTCCTTTCTTTTTGTTTTAAATAATAAATTTTAATTAAATACTTCTTTTATTTTGGTTTAAACGCAGTTGCAGGCGGCGTTTCGAGTTGGCCGTCTCGCCGCGCGCAGACAGTGGACCTCCCTGGTCGCCGCCGCTGCTGCTGCTCCCCTCCTTTGTCCTTTTCGCCTCTTCCGCTTCTTCTTTTTGCATTTTTTGTTTCTAGTTTCTTTTATTTAGTTCAATTCTTTCGTTTTTAAGTGCAGAAGGGGCTTTTTGGCAGTTGCGGGGCGCGGGGGGGCTGCGCAGTGTAGCAGGAGTGGCTGCAGCAGCGGGACTTCGTTTTCTGCTGCTTCTTCTTTGTCTTTTTTTTAAATTTTAAATCCAATTTTGCTTTTGCTGCTCCCAAGGACACGAGCAGAAGCTGGGGCTCTTCCTGCTGCAGCTCTTTCTGTCTCCATCGGATTTCAAACTTTCCAATTTGCTGCGCTGCAGCAACTGCAGCTCTTCCGTAGCTTCCCTTTGCAATTTTATAGCCCAGTCCCAGTCTTTTCCTTTTGGCCTTCTTCGCCCAAGATCCCAGCCCACCATGACAGACGGGGGGAGCGCAGCAGCAGCAGCAGCTGCTGCTGCTGCGCTGCAGCAGCAGCAGCAGCAGCAGCAAGGCAAGGAGACGCAGCCCCGCAGCAGCTTTGCGTGGCTGCGCCGCCTGTGGCTGCTGCCGAACAGGAAGCTGCAGCAGCGGGAAATGCCTACGAGCGAGTTGCAGCTGCAGCTGCAGCAGCAGCAGCCGCATGCAGCAGCAGCAGCAGCAGCAGACTCGAAGCAGCAAAAGGGCGGCAAAGACTCTGAAAGCGTCACTATTTCAGTAGAGTAAGTCTTTAATTGCATTTTAAAATAATGAAATTCAAAAACGCGAAGATTGCATGCATGCGCGCTGGGGTGTACAAACAGCTGAGGCCAACGGCGAAAATATTCAACTTTCCACCCAGCGGCCATTCCGACTGTCGAATTACTCCATTTTTGAATTTAAAAACAACAAAATAGTGAAATTGAACTATTTAGTTTGAATTATATTTCAATTTAAATTCAATTTCCCTCTTTTCCCCAGATGCCACCTCGGGGAAACCCCCAAAGGCAGCAGTCTGGCCGGGCCTCTCCAGCGCAAGACTCTGACGGAAGACGACATCCACCGAGTGCGTTTAATTTGAATGTTCATTTCTTTTCAGCCAATTAATTAAGTCCATTTGTTTGTTTATTTGTTTATTATTTATTTATTTATTACTCATATATTTGTTTGTTGTTTCGTTTCGTTTGTCGAGAGAAGAACTCTTGAACGAAGGGGGTCGTCAATTCAGTTTCGGGCATCACTTTTTGAGATTTTTGGAAGTTCTTGATTCGATTAGATCGATTTAATTAAATTAATTAAAATAAATGGAGAATTTGGGAAAATTGGGTCGAAATTGTTGGGTTTTGTGGCGCTTTCCAGGACTTTTCAACTCCATCTGAACGCGAAAACCCGCTGCAGCGGCTGTGCAAAAGGTCCCGCAGCTGCTCCCCAGTGAAGTGTCTTCTTTCCTTTTTCCCTTTGCAAGAAGTCTTGAGGACTTACAAATGGGAATACCTTTTGCCAGACATCTTCGCCGGCATTTCCGAAGGTGCCCCCAAACCCTAAACCCCAAACCCTAAACCCTAAACCCTAAACCCTAGCGCTTTCCCGCTGCAGACCCCCTCCCTCTTCCCCTCCGAACGACCCTCCCACCCCTCCCGCAGCCCCAAACCCCAAACCCTAACCCTCCTCCCCTCTCTCCCCCTGCTGCTGCTGCTGCTGCTGCTGCTGCTGCTGCTGCTGCTGCAGGGGTGATGGCGATTCCGCAGGGGATGTCCTACGCGCTGCTGGCGCGGCTGCCTGCTGAGTTTGGACTTTACGCGAATTTGATTTATCCTTTAATTTATTTGCTGTTTGGAACTTCTCGCCATGCTGCAGTTGGGGTTTCTGCAATAGAAGATTTGCTGCTGGGCGAGGCGGTGACGCGGGTGATTGGCGAGCGCGAGCGGCTGCAGGAGGTGGCGCGGCTGCGGCTGCTGGCAGCAGACGCTGCTGCTGCTGCTGCTGCTGCTGCGCCTGCAGCAGCAGCAGCAGCGGGGGGGGAGGCGCGCCCCGCGGCGGCGCTGCTGCAGGCGGCGGAGCTCAACGAGCTGCTGCTGCAGCAGAGCCGCGTGCAGGTGGCAGCAGGCCTTGCTGCTTGCCTGGGGCTGCTGTTCCTGCTGCTGCGGCTGCTGCATGCAGGACTTTTGGCAGATCTTTTGGCTTTTCCAGTTCTTTCTGGATTTTCAACAGCAAGTGCTTTTCTCATTGGCAGCAGCCAGCTGCAACACGCCCTCGGCATTCGCTTTCCCCCCGAACTCGAAGACGCAGACTTCAAACTCCTCAGGTGCTGCTGCTGCTGCTGCTGCTGCTGCTGCTGCTGCTGCTGCTGCTGCTGCTGATGGCGGTGGTGGTGGGGGCGGGGGTGCTGCGGGCGGTGGTGGTAGTGGTGGTGGGGATTATGGGCATTGTGGTGGGGAGGGTGGTAATGTTGCTGTTGTTGTTGCTGCTGCTGCTGCTGCTGCTGCTGCTGCTGCTGCTGCTGGGGTGTACAGACAGTGGTGGTACTGCATCAGCCACATCGCCGAAGCCAATTGGGTCTCTGTCGGCATTTGCGTCTCCGCGATTTTCGTTCTCGCCATTTGCAAATTCCTTAATCGAAAGTCAGAAACACGAAGCCAGCTAGCTGGCTAGCTGGCTAGCTAGCTAGCTAGCTAGCTAGCTAACTGGCTAGCTAGCTGGCTGGCTAGCTAACTGGGTGGCTAGGTGGCTGGCTGGCTGGCTAGCTAGTTAGCTAGCTAGCTAGCTGGCTAGCTAGCTAGATGGCTAGCTAGCCAGCTTGCGAGCCAGCGTTTTAGACGGTTACCGGGCTAGCTAGTTTTCGAGGCAGCTAGCTAGTTGCCGAGCTGCTGCAGCTGGCTAGCTGGCTAGCTGGCTAGCCAGCTAGCTAGCTAGCTGGCTAGCCAGCTAGCTAGCTAGCTGGCTAGCCAAACATCTGGCTAGCTAGGTGGCTAGCCAGCTAGCTAGCCAGGCAAATATCTGGCTAGCTCGCTAGCTAGCCAGCTAGCCGTTGCGTTCACTTGGGAGTTTCCCGCAGAGGCGGTGAGTTGCGCGCGGGGTGTACGTACACCGGAGCGGCGGGCTGCGTGCGTTGGGGTGTACGTACACCGCAGGTACTTCCGACGGATTCCGCTGCCGGGCCCGCTTTTGGTGGTAATCATTTTTACTTTTTTGTCTTTTGTTTTGGACTTGACGAACTCCGCGGGAGTCCGAGTCGTGGGGAATATTCCCAAGGGGTTTCCGAAGCCCGCGGCGCCCACGTTCTCCATTTCCTACGCCACCATCAGTGAGGGTTTAGGGTTTAGGGTTTAGGGTTTGGGGTTTAGGGTTTAGGGTTTGGGGTGTTCAAGTTAAGTTCTGGAATTTAATTTGAATTTTGGAGTTTGATTTCAATTTTTAGAACTGGAATTGTGGAGTTGGAGTTGAAGTGTTGAGTTTGAATTTTCAAATTGAATTTTGAGTTTCAAATTGAATTTGAATTAATAGATTGAAATGGTAAATTGATTTTAAAATGATAAATTGAATTTAAAGTGATAAATTGAATTCAAAATGATAAATTGAATCAATAAATTGAATTTGAATCATCAAATTGAATTCATAAATTGAACTTGAGTATGTCCATTGAAGTTGAATTGAATATGAACAATTGAATTTGAATAAACGAATTTGAATTGAATTTGAGTTGAATTTAAATTAATGGATCGAATAATTAATTTGAAATTGAATAATTAAGTTGAAGAATTAAATTGAAATTGAACATTTGAATATTCGAATTTGAATTGAAGTCGAATTGGGTTGAATCAAATTTGAATTGAATCCAATTGAATCATTGAATAGTCAAATTAAAACCAAACAACTGAACAATGAAATCAAATATTAAATTAAACAATTAAACTCAATAATTAAACATTAAATTAAATAATTAAATTAAAAAGTTGATTAATTTGCATATTTGAATTGCTGCAGCGGACGGGGGGGAAACTGTAGTGCAGCAGCGAAATGTCTGCGTGGCGATGCTGCGGGAAGCTTTGGCTTTGACGGCGATGTTTTTTGTAATTCATATTTCAATTGCAAAGACTATTGCGCAGCAAAAAAGGGTAAATCCCAGCAGCAGCAGCAGCAGCAGCAGCAGTAGGAGCAGCAGCAGCAGCAAGCACCGACCACACACGCCTCCCGCTGCAGACACTCACGCTGCTGATAATGCTGGAAACGCCGCTGCTGCTGCCGCTGCTGCTGCAAACGAGGATGGTAATAATGCTTGCGCCGCTTCCCCGCTGCTGCTGCTGCTGCTGCTGCTGCTGCTGCTGCTGCTGCTGCTGCTGCTGCTGCTGCTGCTGCTGCTGCTGCTGCTGCTGCTGCTGCAGACGTACAGCATCCGCCCCGACCAGGAGCTGGTGGCTCTGAGCATGTGCAACTTGGTGGGCTGCTGCTTCCAGTGCTTCCCGAACGCAACTTCGCTCTCCCGCAGCTGCGTGGTAGCAGCAGCAGGAGGGTTTACGCAGCTGCACCAAATTTCGAACTCTTTGGTTTTGGTTTTCACGCTTTCCTTCATGACCCATTTGCTGCACCAACTCCCCACTGCTGTTCTTGCTGCTGTCGTTCTCTTCGGCGTCTACGGAATGCTGGACTTCAGAGAGTTCCTCACGCTCGCCAAAATCGGTCAGGGTTTAGGGTTTAGGGTTTAGGGTTTGGGGTTTGGGGTTTGGAGTTTGGGTTTGGGGTTTGGGCTGCTGTTTGCTGCAGCAGCAGGTGTTTTGCTGCTGCTGCGTGTGCTTCTGCGTAACACTTGCATTTGGGTTTTGGTTTATTTGGCCAATTGTTTTCTAATTTTTGAATTCGTTCAAAAGGACTTCTCGACTGAGAGCTGCTGCTGAGCTGCTGCTGCCGCAAAACACATGCTGCAGCAGCAGCAGCAGCAGCAAAAGCTCTGCTGCTGCAGGTGGTTTGGACGCGCTGCTGTGGGTGTTTGTTTCTGCATAACAATGATACTCGGGTTTTGGTTCAGTAACAGCTTCTCAAATACCTGCTGCTGCAGCAGCAAAACGCCTGCAGCAGCAGCAGCAGCAAATGCGTCGCTGCTGCAGCAAATGCTTTGCTGCAGGTGGGCTGGACGTGCTGCTGTGGGTGGTTTGCTTCTGCATAACAATTATATTTGGGGCCATGGAGGGCATTTTGGCTTCCATTCTTTTATCTCTTTTGTGGCTTTTGCAAAAAACTGCAAGACCGAACTTTTCCGTTTTGGGCCGGCTCCCCAACACCTTCATCTACAGAAACGTCAAACGCTTCCCCATGGCCGTCGAGGAGGAAGGTGCTGCTGCTGCTGCTGCTGCTGCTGTGGCTGCTGCTGCTGTGGCTGCTGCTGCTGTGGCTGCTGCTGCTGCTCCTGTGGCGGCTGTGCACTGCCTGCTTTGCTGCTGCTGTCTATTGTTTTTGCTGCTTCTGTCTATTGTTTTTGCCGCTGCTGCTTGTCTGCTGTGCTGCGAGGTTTCTTTTGTTTCTGCTGCTGCTGCTGCACTTTAGCTGTTTATTTTGTGTCTATTTTCTTTTCTATTCCGGCAATTTAATTAAATTTATTTTTAATGGTTAATTAATGCAAGTTTGTCTGTCATGGTGCACCAGCTCATCGCCGATGTTGCAGCTTTTTGAATTGCTTTGGCCTCATTTGCGTATCTTCTTGACTGATCTTCAATTTATATAGTATTTTGGCTCCATTTATCCTTTTCTTTCAATTTGCATGCACATTACTTGTCGTTTTCTCTCAATTTGCATGCATTTGCATGCGCTTGCATGCACTTGGCTGCACTTGCTGCTTCGAAGAGCCGCTGCTGCCGGTGCGTTGGGTCGCTGGACCTGAGGTGTCTGTACACCCGGGCGGCTGCGGCGGGAGCGGTTCAAAGTTGAACTTCGCGGAAAAGCGCGGAATCTGAGTGGATTTTGGAGTTTTTTGCGTCGTTTTGGAGGCTTTTTGCATTAAAGTTGGTTTTGTGCGCGTTTGGAGCGGAGTGTGGCGCGTCAGGGATCCGGATCGTGCGCTTCGACGCCTCGCTGAACTTCAGCAACAGTGACTTCTTCGAGGCCCGCGTGCTGCAGAGTCTGCTGCCTTCGACGCGCTGCGTCGTCGTCGACGGCTCCTCCATCAACGACTTGGACGTCACGGCCATTCGCATGCTGGAGCGGCTGCTGCGGGCGCTGGCGAGCCGGCAAGTGCTGCTGCTCTTCGCCAACTGGAAGGGCCCCATGCGGGACTTCCTGCAGAAAGCTGCTTTCTACCAAGTGCTGCCTCCCGAGCGCTGCTTCCTCTCCATCCCGGACGCCGTCTTCTGGGCCACGCGCCGCCTCCGCAGCGCCAACGAGCCTTCCGTCAGCTGCTGCTGCTGCGCTGCTGCTGCTGCTGCTGCTGCTCCTGGGCTGCTGCGGCCGGCCCCGCCGCTGCGCCGCGCTGCTCCCAGGCTTCCCGTCTCCCTTCGGAAGCTTTCTTGGGGCTGCTCCCCGCCGTCTTCCGCTGCTGCACTTCCCCTCCACCGTGCTGCTGCTGCTGCTGCTGCTGCTGCTGGTGTGGAGGTGTTTTGGGTTTGTTCGTTGCTTTGGACGCAGAAGAACCGCACGGGGACCTCGGAGGGCCCCGGGGGGGCCCCCTGGGGCAGCTCGCCTTCGCAGCTGTCGAGTTTGGCGGAAAAAACAAAAGTGAAAAATTTGAGTCCAAAAGAATTCAAGTTGGCGAGTCCCCAGGCCCTCCAGCTGGACGTACACCCCAGCACTCCCGAGAAAATCAAAAACGGACTCCGACGCTCCTTCTTGCCCTTCTTCGGAGCCACGGGCACCTGGTCCGCGAGGGTTTAGGGTCTAGGGTTTAGGGTTTAGGGTTTAGGGTTTAGGGTTTAGGGTTTAGGGGTAGGGTTTGGGGTGTAGGGTTAAGGGTTTAGGGTTCAGGGTCAGCATGCGCCGCTGGTTGCGGAATGGCTTGCATGGTATTCCGGATAGGTTTAGGGTCGAAGGAGAAAGGCCAAAAGGTGCTGCTGCTGCTGCTGCTGCTGCTGCTGCTGTTTGTTTGCTGCAGCCTGAAGGGTGGCCAGAAGTCTCAGAGCGAAATGGTTTTCGACATTTCCGAAAGACGCAAAAGTGGACAGTCCCACTTCAGGCGGCGCTCCACGCGCTCCCAGAGCCTCACCAGCCTGCAAGACCTTGACAGTATGTTGCTGCTGCTGCTGCTGCTGCTGTTGCAGTAGTGCTGCTGCAGTGCTGCTGCTGCAATACTGCTGCAGTGCTGCTGCAATGCTGCTGCAGTACTGCTGCAATGCTGCTGCAGTGCTGCTGCAATACTGCTGCAGTACTGCTGCAGTGCTGCTGCAATACTGCTGCTGCTGCTGCTGCTGCTGCTGCTGATTTGTGTGTTGCTTGCCTGGTTTGCTGCGCTGCAGCAGGTGCAGCGGGCCATGGGCAGTCGGTCCTGTGGGACGGCCTCAGCGCGCGGACGATGGATGGTCTGCGAGTGGTCACGGAGATAACGGGCAGTGGTCAGGCGGTGCGGTGGATGGTCTGTGCGACTGCGGACGAAGAAGCTGCTGCTGCTGCTGCTGCTGCTGCTGCTGCTGCTGCTGCTGCTGCTGCTGCGGGCGCGGGTGCGGGGGAGGCTTCGGGCGGCGCTGCTGCTGCAGCGGGCGATGGAGATCAGGAAGCAGTTCCGGGAGAAGAAGAAGCTGCTGCCAGCAACGAGGGCCTGCAGACGGTGGCGACGCAGCAGCAGAGCCAGTCCTTCCACAGCGGCTGCAGCTGCAGCAGCAGCAGCAACTGCAGCAGCGACTTAGTGAATTAGAAGATTCTTAGAAGATCGTTAATAAGACAAGGCCAGGCTGCTTCCAGCCTCGCCTGTAGCTGCAACTTCTGCACAAGGGCTGATAGGCTTCAGTCCTTTAGTAGTAGATTTTCTGCGGGCCTCCAAATGCTTTCGCAGCAGCAGTCTGCTGCATGCTGCAGTCCTTAGTGGTTCAAAAATTAAGTTAAATTAGATTTTTTTTAAACTGAGAGGCCAAGTAAATGTTTTTTGCGGAGTCCTTCTTAAAGAGGAGAAAGCTGAGCCTAGCATGCGCGCAAAGCTGCCTTTGCGCAGCTTCTGCTGCCAGTTCAGGATTTAAATTCGGACTCCAGCCTCTCGCAGTGGACCTTTTGCTGCTGCAGCAGCAGCAGCAGCAGCAGCAGCTGCTGCTGCTGCTGCTGCTAGTTCCAGTGTGCTCTTTAGTTAATTTGCAGAATTACTTTCGTGACACTCCGTGCCGCCGCGTTCACTGTGAGGCTATTGGCCCGTTATGCGAATGTCCTTTGACAGCTGAAGCGCGATGTGAGATGCGTGGAAGAGCAGCAGCGGCTGCTGGTGCTGCTGCTGCTGTTGCTTCTTACTTGCTAGGTTAGCTCCGCCGCGTCTTTCCCCGAGAACAAATCCCTCAAAAGGCATCTAAACATGTTTCAATTACCTTTTTGCTGCTGCATGCAGCGGGGGAAGGCTCACGAACACGGGCCGGCCGCGGCAGAGCCACACGTGGTTCATGAAGTCTGAAGCAGCTCCCTGAATGCTGCGGCGCCATTCAGAATTTCTGTTTTTTGCTTTTTTTTTTTAGAACTTACGGATTTACTGTCGACATTACGAAGAAGTCGCATCCAACTGCCAGGCACTGGTCGGCAGCGTCTCTGCGGCGAATTCAAGAAACTTGAATTTCAGAAAAAGTTGAACGAGGCTCCTACTCTGCGTTTCGCACGTTTCCAGAGTCTCCCATGAGCTGATCTCTTTCGCAAATGCTCTGGACGTCTGCGAAAGTATTTTAAAAGTATTATTTCTTTTTTTAAAACTAAAACTGGAGGCAAACGCACTGGGGTGGAGTGTGAACATCTGACTGGCAGAGCCGAAAGCTGAAGCGGCGGTGCAGCGGCGATTGGAGCTTTGCAGTGCATGAATTCGAACCTTTGAAAGCTTTGACGTAAATCTGAAGCGCATTTTGTTTAATTGTTTTGTTCAACTCTTTTGTTTTCTTTCGAAAAGGAGGAAGATCAGCCTACGAGGGAGCCCGCACTTCGCTTGGGATTCTTGTACGTCAGTGACTGGCAAAGGACCACTTGGTGCGGTCTCACAATTATAAAGCTGCATTGTTCCAATTCTGAACATCTGGAGAAGTGCAAAAGCCATTAATGGCCTCAATTGTGAAGCTTTTTGATTCTGCATGCATGCAGCAGCCTCGCCTGTTTTCGGCAGCTTCGAGAGTGCGGACTTCAGGTTTCGTCTGCAGCGGGTTTTCGCACTCAGCGTCGCTGCAGGTCGAAACCATGAATAAATAAGTAAATTAATTAGAAGAATTGGCGAGAAGATCGCATGCAAAGAAAGACTTGCATGTCGAGGAGGTGCACGTAGGCTCTGCGCAGCCCTGCAACGTCGGCTCTTTCCTTCGCTGCATCGGCAGATCTTTTCTTTTTTTGAATTTATTTACAACTTGAGACTTACCACTTCGAATCATCACATTCCAGCCTCCCTGAGCCACGGGCTTCGCCTCAAACGAGTCTGCTGCAGCAAAAGCAGCATTAGAAGCAGCAAAAGAATTATTATTTCCGCTTCGAATCTTTCACTGAGTCTGGCACGGACCTGCAGCAGCAGGCAGCCGCTGCAGCGCCTCCAAACAGGCAAAAGTAACTGCAAGTTTCGGCTCCGCGAGGCCCGTGGAGTTCAGAATTCCAAAGGTGAGGGGGTCAACAAGAATCTGGAAAGTTAGTTTTTTTGTTTCAAAAAACAAAAAGGAAACAAACTAAATAAATAATTATACTTCGCAGGAGTTCAAACTCTCGCAGTGCTGCTGCAGCACGAGTTTCGCGTGGGGGGCGTCGCGGGCGCTCTTGTAAATGGTTTCGCCGGCTAGCAGCGGATTGCCGAATCTGCAATCATTTGAAGAAACATTTCAAATTAATTCTTCCAATCTTTTAAATCTGCTGCTGCTGCTGCTGCTGCAGCTCACGAAGAATCCACAATGTGGAGGCTGTAGCCCGCGGGGCACTTCTGTTTGTTCAACTTTCAAAATCCAATTTCAGAAATTCAAAATTCAAGAAATGGAATTACCAGCTGCAGCTTCTCTCTCCACTCGCCTATGACTCCCTGCACATCTCCTGAAAAAGAAATTATGAATTTAAAAAAATGGAAAATTAAAATGAAGTTTCACCTGCGGCGTTTCCAACGCTGGCGCTTTCCGCGTTTCCCACCAAGACAGAAAGCAGCAGCAAATATATCTTCAAATTGCAAAAGCCGAGCCACCCGAAAAGCTGCTGAAACATGTGAATTAAATAAATAAAAAACATTTGCGCAAATGCATGCAAAAAAGGAGAAAGAACTCCTCCAGAAAAGTGCGGAAAGCTGCTGCTGGTTGAAATGGAGCTGCTGCTGCGCTGAGTTTTCAAATGAATGAAGCTCCTGCTGCGCAGAGTTTTCGAGTTTTCTGAGACCTTTGTGAGGCCTTTAAAGTGAATTTCGTGTCAGTTTCTTTTGGAAGCTTGTCAGGCAGCAGCAACTCCAGGTTCCACTTATTCATGTTTCCGGTGCTCGTGCAAGATTCTGAACTTGCATTGTGTGCAGCCCTGAGTTGAATGGCTGCGTTTATGAAACTGCGCAAGCGAAAGAAACGCAATTTAGAAAATAAAATAAATGAATTCAACAAATTTAGAAGACGCCGGCAGGTCACCCGCCTCAGGCTAGTCACTGTACACCTTAGCGGAGGATTCAAAAGCAGCGATTGCCGTGGCAGTGACCCAAGTGGATGGAAGTTCACGGTTTAACCTGGAGAAACCGATTTGCATTTCTTTTTTTTCTATTTCTGTGTTTCTTCTTACGGGAATTGGCGCCGCAAGCAGCAACTCAGAGTGCCCCCAGTCATACGAACTCGGGCTACTAGATCCACTCTACAGAGCAATTCGTGGTTTCACAAGCAAAACAACTACCGCAGCGCATTTTTGATGGCGCCTTCTCACATTAGAAGAAATAAAGGAAGACTGGGGAGCGAAGAATGCAGTTGATCGCGGCTAGAAGGCGTTTCAAACTAGTACGGGTTCTGTTCTGCAGCAGCAGTGGCGGCGGAAGATCACTCGAGCGCGTGTTGCTGCGGCTCATACTGGCTTCTGGCTTTGTTAATCAGGTTCTCTTTAAGGAATTTCAGGAGAAAGTAACAAAAAGAAGTGCAAGTGGGAGCTGAAGCGGCTCCAGTTCGAGCGGACTGGGCTGGGGAGTGCAGCGCGACTGTGGCGGTTCGCCGCAGGACACCTCGATGGGGCGCATGCACTTAATTGCGCAGCCTTTAGAGCATTTGGCACTCGACATTCATTTAATTTTGCAAAAGAAAAATCCACAAAATCGCCGCTTTCCAGAAGACAAAGCCCTCTGCAAAGGCCGGGGTGTCCGCTTGTCCGCCAACAGCCTCTCCTAGTGCGACGGAGGCACCCACAGGGGGAATCTCCGGCGATCCGGCCTCCTGCGTGGCTTTTGCAGGTTATTTTTGCTTTTTTTGTTGAAATAATTCCCAAAAATTGCATTTTAAATCTCCAAATAGGCCAAAGTCTTCCGCGAACTTCGCCCTGAAGGCGCTGCAGCGCAGCACCGCCCCGGCCGAGCCCCATCCACTGCGGCTGCTGCTGCTGCTGCTGCTGCTGCTGCGTTCTCTGGCGGCTCTTTTTGCGCACTTTTTGCTTTTCCGATTCCCCCACTGACGCAGCTCTTTGCCTCTCGCTGGGGCCCCTGCCGTCGCTGCTGCTGCTGCTGTGGCTGCTGCGCGCAGCAGCAGCAGCAGGAGCTGCTGCTGCTCCTCTGCGGGGAGCTGCCGCGCTTCCTTGCGTCCTCCCGGCCCCACAGACGGCCCCCGCGGCTGTCTTCTGAAATATGTGCTGCTGCAGCAGCAGCGCCGCCGCCCCACACTTCCCTGCTGCTGCGCTGCAGCAGCTCCTTGGCCCCCAGCGGAGCCTCCGGGGCTCTCCTCGTAGCCATTTCCTCCTGTGAATTTCGGGGCAGCTCGGGGGCCCCGCAGCAGCTTCTCGGGCCCCACACTTGCCACTCTTTGCTGCTGCTGCTGCTCCCGC